ATGATATCAGAATTCAACGTAGCATCTGAATATGTAATGATATACAGGGCGTTCTATTTTAAAAAATGGAATTTCGGTCTGTAGCACCTACACCAAACACCCTGTATATTTAAAAATTATATCAAAATATAGCTCTCATGAACTCCTAAAACTTTTGTATGAAACATTTTTGTGTATCTTCTTCAACAAACCAGATATTGCCTGTCACATAAAATGTGGGACACCCGGTATATGTTGTTAATTATATCGTCTATCTGGATCTGGTGGCCACTTCTTGAGTGGACTTATTTTTATTATTGCACTGGTCATGCTCTCTCCTCGAAGCCCCGATACATTCGGGAGATCGCGTTAGCATTATAAACCATTGACCACTTCCCACGCCATGGGGTAAGTGATTATTGGGTCCGATAATCATCTGCCACGAGCAAGTGCAGTGAGCCAAGAATGACAGTGTTTTATCTGCCACGAGCAAGTGCAGTGAGCCAAGAATGACAGTGTTTTATTTTTGTCCGGCTAAGAATTCTTAGCCGTAGAGTATAGAGGACATCATTTATTTTTTTTCATCACTACCCCTAAGAAGATAATTGGGGAGATTAAAAATAGTAGGTAACCCATCCAATAATCACATCAATCATCTTACTAATATTTATAACTCTATATTTCTTGAGCCTTTTACAAATAATGAGCTGTTATATCTGCTAACGAATAAACTTAAGAATAAAAGTTTTTCTGGACCCGATGAAATTCCAATGTTCTTGATCAGAAAAAGTTTGCAATACATTATTTATCCTTTGACTTACTTAATCTATCATTTAGTACAGGAGTGTTTCCCGAAAAATTGAAGATCGGAAAATGTGTACCTACCTGTCCACAAAAAATCGGATCCATATCTTTTATAGAACTATAGGCCCATCACTGTTCCATCTAGTTTCTCAAAAATATTTGAATATGCATATCTACATCGTTTACTACATTTCATTGAGATGCATAACATTATCTCCCCGATTCAACATGGTTTTCGATCCAATATGTCCACTATTACTGCTGTGGCAGCTTTTTACTCAAAAATCTTGAAGTACATCGAGGCTGGTGAATGCCCTGCTGGAATATTTTATGATCTCAGTAGAGCATTCGACTGCGTCGACCATACGATATTATTAAATAAATTATATTCATATGGAATAAGAGGAAATGTCCTTGACTGGATAGAGTCTTTCACCAGAAACGAGTCAATTTGTGTCGGTGAATCATAGATCTGAAAATAGTCATTATAAATGTATTTCAAATACACAACTTTTGACCATTGGAGTACCTCAAGGATCAGTGTTGGGACCGCTATTATTTATATTATATTGTAATGATGTTGGGACCGCGGTTGCTGAGAATACGTGCGTTATGTATGCAAATCACACATCACTTCTAATTTCGGACAAAGACGACACAATTTTCAAAGAAAATTGTAACACGGTGTCAAATCATTTGGTTTCATGGTGTGCCGCCTACTCACTTCATTTCAATTCTCGAAAAACTTTATTAGTACGGTTTTATCACAGGCAAAAAATCTGTTTAAATCTAGAAAATAAAATTAATGATGAATGTAAATTTTTGGGACTCACGCTAGATAATTGTCTGAACTGGAAGAGTCATTGTAATAAACTGATATCGAAATTAGGTTCTGTTTCGTATCTGATACGAAATCTTAAGCCAATATTAACCACTGAACAGTTAGTAAATTATTTTTATGAACATATAGAATCTAGAATCAGATAAGGCGTTTGTCTTTGGGGAAGCTCTTCATTGGCTCCAATAGTTATTTATGTATCAAGGGAATTAGGAGGGCCTTAATTACCGATGGCAAAGTTTGCGTCCCGAGGGCCTCTGGCCCGAGGGACAGCAATTGCCTGAGGTTATTAAGGCTCATTAATTCCCGTGGTACATAGATAATTTTATTTCTGACCGATTTCAATAAAATTTTGTTCATTTTTGAAACGGAAAAATGTACCAATTCATTACCTTCCCGGTATATTTGAATCAGGTACCGTTGATTATAGTAGAGTTTTCTTGTTGCTAGGTTGTTGCTATGTTACTTGTTTATAAACAGAACTTTGTNTTGTGCTAAATAAACGATGTCTGTTAAAATGAACAGTTTGTTCATCAAATACCCCAGTCAGGAAGGGGTACACAAGGCCAGAGCGGCATAGATGTCATTGACCTTTATGTCGCCACCAAAACACACTACGTCATGAATCACTCGTCCTCCTGACGAAAGACAGTTGAAAGGATAAGGGATAAGTTTCCAACCTGATTAAAATGAAGATGCTATCGTGGCTGAACATGCTGACAGTAATTGCACTAGGGTCTCAGTCGCCTCGCGGCCAGGAACTTTTATACCCATCACGCGACTGCGATAGATATTTTAGACACATCCTTACAGGTCACAGGCCATGATGAATTCCTCAGTTTTCGACTTCAGCACACTCGATCTGAGGAAAGCGAAGGTCAGCTGCTATGATAAGTCGAGGTCTTCAATGTTGTAGAAGAAGACCCCATGCCTTGGCTTATCCTTGTGTTGCCACAGAAATAAAGTGATCTGTGCGGGTTCCAACATTTTTTCTGATGTGAGCTGCATGCAATGTTTCAAGATCAAGAGGGTCGGTTTTTCAGTAAAGGCCATGCGTTTAGCACAGCGCCGAATACGTCTCAGTCGATTCTGATCTCGTATAAAACTAGGCAACAAATTGGACCTGCACACTCTAGACGAGGCGAACGTAGGTTTTGTAGAATTTTATCGATGTCCTGAAAGATACTCGTGGTAATGTCTCGCGGATAAGATACACCAAAGTGTTGGCACTTTTGTATGCTGACAAAATATGACCGGACCAGGTTAGATCTGAAGTGGTGGTCACATCCAGGTCTACGTAGGAGATAACTGTTTGGAGACGACTGCTTTGTAGTATGTGAGGAAGACAGGGATGGTTTTTCCCGATGTGCAAGACGACACATTCACCAATATTTCGGAGATATGAGGAATTGGCCGATTCTTGATGAAAATCCATAACTAACGTATTCAAAAAACACTTCATTGTGAGAATTCCACTAAACAGTTTCAAAAAATCGCAACAGGTGTTTCGCCATACAATGGCTTCTTCGGGCGTGTCTTCACTCAGTTAAGACAGTATTTTCATTATATTCTTAGGTGGACAAGTAATTTTAAACTTCTTGTTGGATAATTCTTACACTCAACATTGAAAAAAATGGTTGGGTGAAACAACTCGGTTTGTTACCTCAGTTTGTTTTTCGTCAATAGAATCAACTAATAAGGTTATTAGCCTGGTATCGTCTATGTAAATAACTTAACGAGCCACCTAAGGAGCATTATTGCTATTGGCAGTCCCATTCTGTTTAAAATCTGTTTAAAATCTGTTTTTCCGTTAATCAGCTGCCGCCCCCATACGAACGACAACTCTCAGAAGTTGAGAAACTTGTGCGAGCTAAGGACTAACGAGGTCTTACCTTTTTACGTGTGATTCCTAACACGGTTGCAGTCAACATAATCAGATAAATTCACTTGAGAAAAATATTCAGTCAAAGGTGTGTTTTGAAAGAGGACCCCAGAGTCGCTTATTGATTCAAACTCGTGAAATGACCAAACTAGAAGTCAGAGCTCAACAAATTTTAGATTCCTTGATGTTACGACCAGGTAATAAATTCGAAACGTACCTTTCGTTGAAAGATATAAATTTCACTTCGCCTCAAAGTACCAGGTTGTTTCAAAAGTTTTCTCCGTTTTTCTGGGTCTACTTCAAACTGTAATATCTCAGTATTCACTCAATCAATTTAATCGAAAAAGCGCCGTTAGTGTGCTCTTTTTTTTAACGTAACACAAGTCGATTAATTCCGTCAGAATTTGAATTTTGTGCTCGGAATCCGATGAAGTCGACGAATGCCGTTTTTGCCTAGTCCTGATTGGCAAAGGTTCCACCGTTGAGACAGTTAACGTAATGTTTGAAAAGAGTAGTCGGTTGGCCAAAGATCTGGGGAGTATGATGGGTGAGACAGAACTTCGTCGCTCAATTAATTTAATTTTCGGACGGTAATTTTTGAATCGCGCGGACGAGCGTTGTTGTGGAGCAGGTTCAGACCTGTTCTGTTGATCAGTGCCGGTATTTCACGAAACTTAATGTGACAACCAGATAAACTGTTCACTGAAGGCGGCTCTTAATTGTGTCATTGTTTCGCGTGCCGTGTGGCATGTGGCACTGTATTGTTGAAACCACATGTCAGGCATGTTCAAATCTGCCATTTTGGCAACAAAAACTCGTCAATCATCACACATATCTAGTGAGCACCTAATTAGCACTTTATTTTGATTGTCTATGTATTAGTTTACGGGTATCTCAAGACTTTATTGCATATTGTTAATTTTTTTTTCGCTTATTCGCGGTCGTTTTCATCTTAATTTCTCGCAAGCACCTGATTAGCACTTTATTACCACGCTTAGTTTATACCTGATTGAGCATTCGTCCTCGTTTTCGAGAGACCTGATTCTTAGATCTGTTGTTAAGCGAAATTGGAAGCTTTTGTTTATTAATTAGAAAATTTTACGATAATATAACGATAGCATTTGATTAGCACCTAATAGTGTTCCCTCAACATTCATTATTTTATTATTATTTTCATAGCGTTGCCACCATCACATAATGCTAGCAACGCAACTTTGAGTATTGAGTTGCGGTGTAAGTTACAGAGCACCTAATTTTTGACTTCCGTACCTAAAAAGCACCTAAAAAATACTTAATTTTGGCATTTTCTAAATGCGATTTCCGTACTTTGCATTGCTGGCGTAACAGAGCTCCTTTTTTTCTAATTCAAATTTTTTGTCTCTTTTCAGCTTTTTAGGACAATGTTTCTCTACGAATTCGAACTGAACCAAAGAGACGGCGAAAGAGCCCAAAAAACTAACCAGGCATTTGGCAATGATGAACGCACTGATTGACGTGGTGGAGACTAGCCTATAACAAACTGTACGTAGGATGGCGGAAAAACTGAGCGTCAGCTCGCATGCGGTTTTTGATGGTTTGAAACGTATTGGAAAGATCAGAAACCTCTAATAGTGGGTGCTCCACGATTTGAAAGATCCACAGAAATTGTCACGTTTCAAAGTCTGTTCTTCTTTGCTTTTGTGCAACAAAAACGTTTTTTGGATCGGATCGTCGCGTGTGATGGAAAGTGAATCCTCTAGGACAACAGGAAATTTTCAGGACAGTGGTTGATTACCAATAGCCATCCAGGTACTTCCCAGAGGCGAAAACCCACCAAAAAGACCATGGTTACTAAATGATAGTCTGTTGCTGCTGTGATTCATTATAAATTTCTGCAACCGTCTGTCAATCTTTTAACGTGACAAATAAATGTTACTGGAGTTTTTTCCCAACACCAAACCGTTATTTCAACACCTCGACACGTGTTTCGATCATTAAGTGATCATCTTCAAGAAGAAGATCNGGATTTATAATACAATTATCAGTAGATTTATCAGTTAGGCAAATAAATGAAGAAAACCCACAAAAGCTCAGCCTGTGCGTGGGTATCAAAATTATTTGTGACCTTTACGCCTATACAATGCATTTTTTCATCATTAATCAACAATCAATTAAACATAGAGTAGGGGAGTTTATATCTTTGATATGGGCGGGTATAAAATTATATAACCTAGGAGCAAGATAGATACAGCTGCGTTGTCCAATAGTTTTTGACATTTTTGGTACTTCAAGTGATCAACAGTTTTAGCATCTTTGAGTTTTTTCGTTGGTATACCTACCAGTGGTGTTACAGCAAAAATTTGTCGTATGTCCATCAGTTCGGCTTCAGTGTAGAGATCGTCGCTTGGGTAAGTATGGGGTCTATTCAAAATGATCATAATAATCCACTTCTGGAGCGTCTCTGAGTTCTTAAGGTGATAATTAGTGACCCCTCCCCTTGCTATAATACCATACAACAGATGTGTTTTCACTAATGCATGATAGATTTAAGATGTTTCGGGCCAAGGATGTTTTCTAGGTATTTAAATTGATATATCATATATCTCAGTTTCTTTTTCACATTATTTATATGCGTATTCCACTTCAAGTTACTGCCGAGCGTAATACTTAAATATTTAACTGTGTTGGTTGATTTGAGTTGTACTATATCATCTGATATTCGAACATCTATAAATGAATAGTTCGGTAGATTTGACTCGTATTTTGTAAAAGGTATGTGCATGGTTTTCTTTAGATCTTTTTGTCTGTTCTTGATATTTTGCATCGCAGTCCTTGCATTTTATTTCCAAATTCTCGACTTTGTCTTTTGGAATTCTTAAAAGCTCTGTAGTGTATGACTTTTTTTGAAAACCACCTTCATACCTAATTCCTTGAAAATCTTTCCAAAGTTCTTCGTGTATTGGTGCTAGGAACTGAAATATATTTATCTTAGTTTTTGTCCTTTTTAAAAGTCGAGATTTCGTTCAGTCTTAACCTAAACTTCTTCTTCCTTATTATGTCATCTACAATACCCCTCGAGAAACAGTAAGTGACAAACCAAATTCTACGTGGGCGAAGCCGTGGGCAAAAATAAGTTTAAAAAAATATCTTCTTCCAATAACCAGCTGTCGCACCCCTTTGAACGACAACCCTCAGCAGTCGCAACATATGCGAGCTAAGGACTAACGAGGTCTTACCTCTTAACATGTGATTCCTAACACGGGCTGGACTACAGCAAGTGAAAATCGATCGTTCAGTCAACTGACTTGAGGTGACCCACAGAAAACATTCAGCTGGTGCCAAGTCTGGTGACCTTGGTGGCCACTCAATGGGACCTCTCCTACCAATCCATTTGTTCGGATAATTAGTATCCAACCAGTGCCTAACTGGAGCTATATAGTGAAGAGGTGCTCCATCTTGTTGGAAGTGCAGTAAATCTTCGTCTACAGCTAGGTTGCCTTGGTCGTCCCTTTGGTTCTCTAATTCATGCACAATTAAAGGTTCGATTGTGTTTTCCAGCATATCGAGATAAATGTTCCCACTTAAATTGCCCGATATGAACAAGGGACCAATTATAGCATCGCCTAATATTCCTGCCCAAACATTCAGTTTTTCAGGATATTGAGTGTGACCTTCTCTGAGTCGATGCGGGTTCGCATTACTCCAGTACCGACAGTTTTGTTTATATACATTACCATTCAGCATAAAAGTACATTCATCACTGAAACAAATATTTTGTAACATTCTCGGTTCAACGCGAATTATTTCAGTCATAAGTTCACAAAACTTAATTCGTCGGTCTGGATCATCTTCGCCTAGTTCTTGAAGAATTTGTGTTTTGTACGGGTGAAATTTATGTAATTTCTACAACTTTCTAACCGACTCATGTGAAAGTCCTATATCACTGCAGATACTTGACGTTTCGATGCAGTAGTTACAAAATTTCCAAGGACCTCAATTTGGGTTGCTTCATTCAGTAATCTTGGGGCAATCCTTTTTTTTATTTTGCACTGATCCGTTTCTCTAAACTTTTCAACTAAATCGCGGACATACACGTGACTTACATTTTTGTACAGAAACCAAAACACAGATGTTTCCAACTTGTTTTGCAAATTGAGTTTTTATTTAACAAAAAAGTATCGACGGACACTTATCATTTTAAATAATAGTCCGGGAGGTATCATTACAAATAAAAAAGTCATAGTAAACCGGCTGATATTTAGGTTCGTGCAGACTTTGACAATAGGTTGTATTATTGTTTACAAAACAACGAAACCCACTTTGAACATTTACTTAATTGACATTTTTAATAAATTTTTAGTTCAACAAAAACCTCATTAAATATTCCATTTAAGCCAAAGTTTCACAATTATTCCTTCACCCTGTACAATTATCATTTATACCATTGGATAGCATTTTTATAGTCTTTTCAATGATGTATTACAAGTAGGGGTTTGTAGGGGGTGAGTTCTCTGTTATGTCACTTCAGTTCTCCCTTACTATCCTAGAAACGGTTTCAAGCTTTTTTCGATATCAGCTTTCGTTCGTTATTGCATGTATAATTTACACATCATTGTAATGACTTTTGGTGTATAAAGATGGAGGAGAGAAAGTAAAATACCGTTTTTTTTCAAAAGCTAATCTCTGCTGGAAATAGATCAGTTTCAATTCAAATGTTTACTCTTATTAAAGCGTTTTAGCAATCGGAACCGTACAATAACAGAAAACTTAAATAAGCTCAATTGACCTAAGTCCATATAAGTGGGTGATACGCGATAAAATATCCACACAGGAAACACTTATCGAATAAAGCACGGCAAAGATGAGGGGAACATCAGTTCTGTGGCAGATTCATGGCTACCAACATGATAAAATCCAAAATAATTTTTGTGCTAATGTTATTTCAGTATCCGTACGTTAAATCGGCTCAATCTGGGTTTACAACAACGAGTAAGATTTTCATTTATTGTGCATGATAGAAATATACAGGCGGTTTGTATTAACTGATTCCGCTGTTGCTAACTCGGAAACAAAAAGACTCGCAAGGTCGGTTAAATTGCACAAAAGTTTTCTATTTTGGGAAACTAGAATAATAACTTTCACTTGAATTGACTCTACCGCCCCCATTTCAGAAGAGGTATTTGAGAGACAGGTAGTTGGGCGAATCAGGATGCCAACTTAAAATTCCACCCTGAAAATTCTCAGGGTTGTTAAACTCATAAATTCAAGACAGGAGACCTACATAAATCGAGTTGCTCGTTTAGGGGTATATGTTTCTGGTGTTTAATTGATTTGTTAATTTCCATGGCCTTTAACAAATTTATTTTTCCCCTTTATTACAAATGTGTAGGATTTTGAGGTTATCTTCATTTATCTTGTGGTTTGATTCTTGAAGATGTTCGTACATTGCAGATTTTTTGTCCAAACATACGTGTTCACGCAGTCTTATGTCAAAATTTCTACCGGTTTGGCCTGTATATACTGCAGAGCATTCATTTTGAATATTTTATAAAAGTTTACCTGAGTAATTGATGCTACTGTACTTGACTATATTGTATTCTCGGCAGTTTGTGTATAATTTACTACTCATAAGTGTTTTGTGAGTTTTACCTGATATTATCTTTCCTATTAGGGAAATTGGTACCTGATTTTTCACTGCAATTTGCTTAATTATTTTTATTTCATCTTGGAAATTCTTTTTCGTTAAAGAAATTGCAAAGGCTCTGTGTATCATTGACCTTATGTGAGAGCGGACTGAAAGAGTCAAAGGGAATTGTATACGTGTTTTTCCTGTAGATATTGAATTGAAAATCATTTTTACCTCTTGAAATATTCAAATCTAAGAAGTTAAGCTCCTTGTTTTGTTCGATTTCTACTGTGAAATAACAAATGTAGGCCTACTGTCTTGAATTTATGAGTTTAACAACCCCGAGAATTTTCAGGGTGGAATTTTAAGTTGGCATCCTGATTCGCCCAACTACCTGTCTCTCAAATACCTGCCCTTGCAGCATACCTGAAAATTCCAATAAAACCCATATTTCAAAATTTCAGATTTCAGTTTTATACTTGATAATGGGGTCAAACCCGAAACCAGTCGTATAAATAAAATCTACCAGTGGTATTTAAACAAAAGTGTTTTATTCATTTCATTTAAGTCATATTAAAACTAATCAATACAGTTTATTGTATGATTTTCATTATATAGGGGTTACACCAAAACCGCGACACGTGTTTCGCTATGAAATAGCTGTCTTAAGCGTAGAATAAATTACATTTAACTCTTGAGAAAGCTATTGTATCCGTGTCGCGGTTTTTGTAGAACCCTTTATAGTGAAAATCATACAATAAAGTGTTTTAGTTAATTTCAATAAGCTTATGATGCACTGTTTGGAACCTTTGGTGTAGTAATGAATATTACTGGAATTTTATCTCAACACCAAACCATTATTTTAACACCTCGTCACGTGTTTTCATCACCAAGTGATCATCTTCATACTTTGTAAGTATGATTAGTTTGATCTTCCTCTTGAAGATGATCACTTGGTGTTCAAAACACGTGTCGAGATGTTAGTATAAAGGTTTGCTGTTGGGAAAAAACTCCAGTAATATTCAATATTGTTTTTTGTGCTTAACAGAATACGGTTTTGAAACTTGGAAATTTCGATTATTTTCGAAAATATCCGGAAAAACTGAAAATCAGAATGTTCGTTTTTAATATTTTTTGGCGTTATTTGACAACATAGTTCAAAACCATAAACACATTTTCATTGATACTTTTTTTCAGCAACACGTTTTCAAGTCAACATAATCAGATAAATTCACTTGAGAAAAATATTCAGTCAAAGGTGTGTTTTGAAAGAGGACCCCAGAGTCGCTTATTGATTCAAACTCGTGAAATGACCAAACTAGAAGTCAGAGCTCAACAAATTTTAGATTCCTTGATGTTACGACCAGGTAATAAATTCGAAACGTACCTTTCGTTGAAAGATATAAATTTCACTTCGCCTCAAAGTACCAGGTTGTTTCAAAAGTTTTCTCCGTTTTTCTGGGTCTACTTCAAACTGTAATATCGCAGTACTCACTCAATCAATTTAATCGAAAAAGTGCCGTTAGTGTTGTCTTTTTTTTAACGTAACACAAGTCGATTAATTCAGTCAGAATTTGAATTGTGTGCTCGGAATCCGATGAAGTCGACGAATGCCGTTTTTGCCTAGTCCTGATTGGCAAAGGTTCCACCGTTGAGACAGTTAACGTAATGTTTGAAAAGAGTAGTCGGTTGGCCAAAGATCTGGGGAGTATGATGGGTGAGACAGAACTTCGTCGCTCAATTAATTTAATTTTCGGACGGTAATTTTTGAATCGCGCGGACGAGCGTTGTTGTGGAGCAGGTTCAGACCTGTTCTGTTGATCAGTGCCGGTATTTCACGAAACTTAATGTGACAACCAGATAAACTGTTCACTGAAGGCGGCTCTTAATTGTGTCATTGTTTCGCGTGCCGTGTGGCATGTGGCACTGTATTGTTGAAACCACATGTCAGGCATGTTCAAATCTGCCATTTTGGCAACAAAAACTCGTCAATCATCACACGGTAGCGCTCACCATTCACAGTAACGTTCCGGCCATTGTCGTCTTTGAAGAAGTACGGCCCGATGATGCCACCGACCCATAATCCACACCAAATAGTGACTTTTTCGGAATGCATCGGTAGCTCTTGCAATGCTTGTAGCTGACCTTCAATCCAGATGCGTCAATTTTGCTTGTTTACGTATCCGTTCAACCAGAAATGAACCTCGTCGCTGAACACAATCTTTCGATGAAAATGTGAATCTTTCTCCAACCTTGTCAGCGCCCATTCACCAAATGTTAGACGTTGTGGGAGGTCGTGTGGCTTCAATTCTTGCACCAGCTGTATCTTATAAGGTTTTACACCCAAATCCTTTCGCAAAATTTTCCACGTAGTGGAGTAACAGAGGCCCAATTGCTGCGAACGGCGACGAATCGACATTTCACGGTCATCATGAACACTGGCGGATACAGCCGCAATATTTTCTTCGGTCCTCACTCTACGTATGCGTGTTTGTGGTATAATTTTCAATAATGTAAACTGGGTTCGAAATTTAGTCACAAGCTTCCGGATAGCTCCCTCAGTAGGCCGACAAAACTGCCCATAAATTGAAAGAAGTGCACGATGCACCTTCTTCACCGCAAGCGTTGTTCATTCGTAAGTCGATTCATGGTTAAATTATTATAGACCAAACTGAACAAGTTTGACAATGACACAAGACACGATTCACGCGTGATCTGTCACAAACAGTGTTGCCAAAAAGATACCAGCAAAAAATCACTCATTACTATTGATATATATTTGAAAGAAGGTCGAGTGGGTCAAAAAACGAGAATAACAACCCACGTCAGTAATGGAAAACATCAATTTGAAAAAATAAAATGAAATTCAAAAAGTATGCAGATGAAAGATTACATACTAAAAAACATAAATAAAATGTTGGAGATTTAGTAATTTTTAAACAAAAACGTGTAAATAAATTTATCCCACCATATGATCCTAATCCATATATTGTTGAGAAAATTAGTGGTACAAAGGTAATCGTTTCAAGGCTAGATAAAAAGATAACAAGAAATGCTTCTCACTTCAAAAATATTGTAAAATCTGATCGCATGAATCCTGTATTGGACGTTATACTTGAATACGATGAAGATTTTCATGATTATAGGAAACCAGATGAAGAAATAGAGTCAGAAGAAGATACACCAGTTCAAGAAATTGAAGTTCATGAACCTCCTAGAAGACTACAATCACATAGGAAAGCTAAACACACAAATTATTCTTCTATATGAATGTGACATAAGTGAAGTTAGGGAGTAAATGTAATGTTTCGTCCTGTATATGTTGTTTTAGATTATTGTATGTCAAGTAGACTGTGTGTTGTCACATTTCTGATTGAACTGAGATATTGTTTGAATAAACAAATATTGAAAACTACTTCTACAATTTCAATTAATATTCCAACACGAATATTACAGATACTAAAAATCGAAACGTCGTAAAGTAATTTGGTTTGAAATCATTCAATTTTTAATTTTCATTTCTTGTTAATAATTTTTTAATTTTAATCTCGTGTTAATAGTTACATTTTTTATTTTTTGGTTGTTGCTTGTATTTTATTTCATTGTAATTTCAATTTTTATGCTTGATATAATTCTTATTTTTCAGCTAACCTTTTTAATTTTTACAGATTCTTTCAAATCAATTTATATCATATTAGACAATGGAAGTCTGAACTAATGAAATGCACCATGAAACATTGCCAACCACCTTCAAACAATAGTTTTTTTCATATAAAATAGTTTAATCAACGGATACAGTCCATAACTGAAAGTGGAGTATAAATATTTTAAGAGGCAGGTAAACTCGAAGTCTTCTCCAAATAAAAAAAAAATATATTCAATTATTCAACGGAAAAACATACATAGACATACTTAGACATATTTTATTTGACTACGTTCATGTAAATTACATTTGTAGCAATCATACTACAAAAATTGGAAAAAAAATTGGGTTTCAATATAATTGCATCTTTATGTTGGAAAAAAAATCAGTCAGAAACACTGAATATACATCATGAACCATCGAACTCAACAAAACATCAATAACTTAAAAACGATTATAGATATAAAAAAAACTGAATATCTGAACATTCTCATGCGAATGAGGGGGTATCTAAATATTCTGCAATAGTTTAGAAACTTGAGGTGATGAGGAACTATTTCACCTTTTAATTGAAACAATTGGGGGACATATTTCGATCACAGCTGTGATCATCTTCAGTTTAACAAAAACATGAACAAATTATAGATTAGTAAAGACAAATGGAATCAATACGATGTCTACTTCCGCACTGTATTTGAATTTTATTATTATTACATTATATTATTTTTGTTTACTTATGTGTGTATTTGTGTATTCATTTGTCTGGGCGGTATGTTATGACCAATGGGGAATGTTTCTCCTGACGAAAATCAAGTAGTTTTCATAAAAGAGCTCTAAAACAACGCATTTTGAACTTATCATTCAAACCTTTTTCTTTAAAAAATTATTTGAATTCTTAAAAAAGAGGAAATAAATAATGCATTCAACATTTAAAGGGATTCGTTTCTATTTTACCATTTGGCAACATCGGTTATAGCTAATAAAGGACAATGAATCTGTTACCTGTATGAAACAAACAAAGATGACATATTTCAGAGGCGTGCTGTTCTGTTTACTTATGTTCCGAGACATTCTGTGACATATGACATTTTGTGCACTCAACCTATCTTCCTCTATATAAATTAATAACAAAACAACTGTTGTTTATGTGGCTTGTGGAGGTGGTATAAAACTATAATTTATATTTTGCCCTAATTGTTGATTTATAAAGATAATTTTCCTTTTTCAAAGTAGAATATCTAGGTACGTATAAATTATTTCAACTTGATATAGGCACTGTTGCTAATATGTGAATTAGAAACAAATCCCTTTAAAAATTGAAACCCAACATTTGAAACATCAATTTAAATACTTTTCGAAGTGAATTTGAAAAACTCATGAATTGAACTCAACTTTATTTTATTCAAACTTGCATTTGCTGTAATAACCCAAATTGAGGAACATTCCCCATATATGCAATCTGGAGGTTGAATACTTTGTATGTACGTATGGTAGTCGAATCTTGTCAAATTGATGTTACTGAACTATTACATATATATGTTTATTTTGGATGATAAAGCATGTACAGTTGAGATATGGAATCCGATACTAAGAAGTTCAAGAATAGCAAACAGCACGACGCCAGGTAGAAAAGTATCGACTAATGTTATTGGCGTACACTCAATTCACCTATACCAGGTACAGGTATTAGGCAGCCGTAATATCCAGTCATCGGAGACATAAATTAACTGGTTCCTATCTGCAACTATCGAAATTTAATTACTAAATCATTTCATTTAGTCGAAAGAACACAGCACTGGTATTTTTAAAACGGCCTTATTCTTCACCGACGAAACCAAGGTGATTCTATTCATAACCCTTCAACAAAGAATTGAGTCACCAACAACTGTTCATTTAGCAAATAATCAAATGAAAGTAGAAACCCCAACAAAACTTTTTGGTATACACATCAAGAGCATATTTACTGGCATACCCACATTATAAACTTGGGAAAAAAATTGAATAAAACCTGCTACAGTGTAAGGATTACGGCATTATTTCTCTGTATTAGTTTTTTTGGTCTTTGAGATGCCTATAGCTTTAACTATTCACAATACAGGTTACTTCGTCTATAGCAGATCGGTTAAATTGGACAAAAGTTTTCTATTTTGGGAACTAGAATAACCATATCGAGAATGTCAATGGCTGGTTTTGAAATACTGTTTCGTATTTGTTATAAATGTATGTATGTAAAGTAGGTATTTAGATGAAACTTTACTTAAATACAGCTTATACATTAGCTACAATTTACAAAGGTTGTTACTTCACCTTTTCGTCGACACTTAATTATTGCTTCAATAAATTAATGGATTTAGCCGTTACTATGTGGTAGGAAATCATAATGAAGCAACGAGAATTGAAACTTTCTATGTTTTTTACCACTTTTATTTGTAATTAACGTTACTGCAGTTTGAAAATGTCTTTATAGGACGAAACTGCAGTATGGAAAGTTTCAATTCCCTTTTCTTCTTAATTATTGTTGTGAAATTTTGTATTTTAGTTTTATTATGTTGAAGAATAAAGACTATTATTATTATAAAGAATATTCGCAAATCTAACACAAGCACTGACGTCTTCAGAAGACGAAGTAGTCTACTTCACCTCTTGAAGACGCCAACATGGTTGGTGGAAAGCGCGTCGAGTGCTTGTTTTGGATTGAAAGACTTGCCTCCAAACAGAAAAAAATAATAACATTTCGTATCGAATTGACCTGACTGAAAATGAAAATGAGTTTAGGTAAACTGCATCAAATGATATGCGTATCAGTTCTCATATAGTTGGTTATCAGAAATATATAATGGCATATTTCCGTTGCTTCTATTTTTTGCATTCCAATATTGCACTTTCAACTGATACACGGACGTTATCTCTGGAACTAACCTTGACTTGCCATTTCGTACGATATGAGAATGAAAATGCATTTCTATTGCAGAATTAAGTCCACAGCCTCTCTGGAATTCTACTCACACAGATAAATTGCGTCAAGATCTCCTGCTCAACTATGATAAATTTGCAAGGCCGTCTCAACACTTCAACGCAACTCAGGTCCGTTTAGGAATGTCCATCAAACATATCGAAGTCAACGAGTTGAAATCCTCACTCACGGTTTATTGCTGGCTTCGACTGGTAAGTTATGGAAATTAATGCATTGGTGATTCGATTCACGATATGAATGGTTCAGTCGAAAGACGATGAGAATCCATATTTTGTCGGAAACAGTAGCAAACATACAGTAGTATTAGGTTGTTTCAAAAGTATTGTCCGTGTTTTTGTATCTCGATATACCAATATTTGATCGATAAAGAATGTTGTACTCCATACATTGATGCTGTTAGTTCGATCCTGCTGAACGACAACGCCTGTCCGCACGTTTCACAAATCTCCGTCCGAAAATTAAACGAATTGTGCTTCGAAATTTTTTCTCACCCACCATACTCCCCAGACCTCTCACCGACCGACTACCATCTTTTCAAGCACTCCGATAACTTTTTCACTTCTTTTTTGAAGATGGTTGACAATGTTTCGTGGTGTATTTCATCAGTTCGGACTTCCATTGTCTAATATAATATAAATTGATTTGATAACCCAAATTATGTCATAACATTTCGATTGTTAGAATCCACAATCGTCTTCGGGTGATAACTGGACTAATTCCTCCGAGATCTGACTATTTATAGGTCATTGGAGTGCTTTCACCTATCCCCTCTTCCCTCTTTCCGCTTCATTGGTTTTGGCGGAAGATGACCGTTTGGCGAGAGTTGGTCGTTTTTCGCTTGATTAGAGATTTCCATATGTTACGTATCTCTACGTTAGCTTGACTGAATGCGTTGTTGGACAACATATACGCGCCTACTTTGAATTTTCTCCAGTGTTCCTCTTTATGGATGATTTCAGCTTGAGCCCACTTGATGTTGTGTTGATGAGTCCAAACATGCTCTGCTATTCCGGATTTGCTGGTTTCTCCTCGTTGTGTGTGTTTCTTGTGCTCAGCAATGCGAACTTTCAATGGCCTCTTAGTTTCACCGATGTATGATTCTCCGCACTCGCAGGGTATCCGGTAAATGCAATTATTGGAATCGCAGTCCGCGTTTGGTGACCTGGTTTTCGTGAGAAGGATAGTGTTCCCAGATCTGAAGCAGGTCCTGATGTTATACTTGGACCCAATCCGTCTTATCCTTTCCGATAATCCTCTGATGTAGGGAAGTACAAGTACTGGTTGTGGCGACTTTTCTTCCTTGTGGAGTTCTTGCTGTCTTCTAGCTGAAGCCTGTTCTACCATCACTTTGGAGTAACCATTCCGTTGAAGGTCATTTTTGATGATACCTAGTTTCTTTTCGAGACCTTCCTTTGTATTACAGAGCCCAAAAGCACAGTCCAGTAGAGTCTCGATGATTCCTCTGCATTTACTGGATACCCTGCGAGTGCGGAGAATCATACATCGGTGAAACTAAGAGGCCATTGAAAGTTCACATTGCTGAGCACAAGAAACACACACAGCGAGGAGAAACCAGCAAATCCGGAATAGCAGAGCATGTTTGGACTCATCAACACAACATCAAGTTGTGCTGATGAGTCCAAAACCAATGAAGCGGAAAGATGGAAGAGGGGATAGGTGAAAGCACTCGAATGACCCATAAATAGTCAGATCTCGGAGGAATAAGTCCAGTTATCACCTGAAGACAATTGTGGATACTAATAATCGAAACGTTGTGACATAATTTGGGTTATCAAATCAATTTATATTATATTAGACAATGGAAGTCCGAACTGATGAAATACAGAAACTTTTTCACTGAAAGAACCTTGGACCATGTGAAAAAGGCTTTTGTCTACTTCAACGAATCTTGACCACCCAATTTTTATGCTTCGATTGTCATTTACCCACTTTCAAACTATCTCGTCGTAATTAAGAGGCACCTCATCCTGCCGAAACCTAATATTGGTTGAAAACTCATTCGAATGAGTTTTCAATTTTCTAAACGGGCGAGACAATTTTCGAGACAAATAAAACTATTGTCGTACGTGTTTGCGTACACTATTTTTTCGGCAACCGTAAAGAGTAACAAATCAATGAGATACATTCCTTTATTATATTTCTTTGTTGAACATTTGAATTGAATATTGAAATTCGAACATTTTTCTTTTTCGTAATTCATGAATAATCTGTTATGTGGAGTATTGGATCACTATAAAGATGAATATTACCCATACAACAGCAGGTTTTCGAATTGTGTAAATGTGTTTTGGAATCTGGTATTTTTACAAGCAACATGTTTTCCTTATTGTTAATTAATTTAATTGACATTTTTGTTAGTTATCATATCTTACGATCGTAATACTTATTTCATTGAAATCACATTCAGCATTGGAAATGTTTCATTTTTTGCTTCGCTAATAAATTTATCGATGTGCACTGTTGAAGACTTCTGATTTATTTACTCTATAACCTTTTAAGACATGCGATAACCTTTGGGAAAATAGCTATGTTTACATTTTTCTCCACTGAAATGGTACTTGTCAACCAAGAGTACATACTCCACAAGGTAAAGGATTTGACAGTTCAGATTACGTTCTCTGTAATAGTTTTGCAATTTTTCGAATAATTGTGCCGTAGCAGCAGCTGTTGCATAGGAAATTTCGTAAGCCTCATTTTCAAAGTCAGTATCGCTGCTGCTTTCCATAGTTTATTGAGATAATTGCAAACAAAACCATGCAAACTTAAAAAAATCAAAATGACAATTAACTTCAATAACACTGTTTAAATTTGCAACAAATATATTGAAGAAAAAAGTAATACAAATCATGAAATTATGAAACAACAAGAAAAATTAATTGGCGCATCGGGGCGACTTCTTTGACTCCAGTGGCGCATTTGCTTTTTCAGCAGCAGGAAAACCCGGAAAAACCTGCAGCACCACATCATCTGAAGATCATGATCTGCCAATGTCCTCTTTCATAAAGAAAATGTAGGGTGTTTCACGAGGCTCCAACAAATTCAAGACATCGCCAGAACACTTAGTGACACGACTATCGTCAAAATCAAACCAGTCCGTTTCATCTTTGACCAATGCGTAATAATGACCAGATTCGATGCCAGAACCACAGTGAACTATGTCTGCATGAAGATATAATAGTGGTGTGCTAGATTGAAATGTTTATCTATTTCGAACCTTCGTAAGAGTTTGGTGGTTTCCTCAGAGGTTGAGTCATGTTTGAAGATTATCAGTGTTATCATTAGAATGACTGGTGCCTCAGCTATACTTGTTTTCTTATAATAGTCAGTTAGTTCCATTTTCAGACGATTTTACAAAAAGCTTTGCACGGACTGGTTATCATTCATATTAAGAAACGCTTGTTGAAGTTCCAAAAAATCACATACGTTTTTGCTACTTTTTGAACATGTACTACAAAGTGAACAAGTGGGGATTTTTCCAGCAAAAGATCTACAAACACAAGACGAGATAGACTGCACGGAATCATTCAATTCAGAGTGGTCAGGAGTATTGATTCTGCTATTTTTTTGTTCACGAAGAGTATTCAACAGGAATCCCAAAAATTCGGAGCAATCCTCTTGTTGTCCTAACGAGTATCTAGTGGACTTCAAAGACTCCAGGAGATCGGTTGGTGGGAAAGATGATGCATTCACTACCTACCAAGATTTTCATATTTGCAATGACAACAACGATGTGATTCTTCCCTGCCTAGTCCGGTAAAAACGTACTTCCCGGAGGCCGAAAAAATGCCACTTTCTCGAAGAAAAAGCCGAAAATGTAGATTTTCTTCGACGAATGGAAGTTTGATAACTGCATCACTTTATTTGAAATTTTAAATGACACAACTTTCAGAAGATAGAATTTGGTACGAAATCACTTTTTGTAGAATAATTCTATTCGGTTCAACCCTCCTTACTGGCCAGGTGAGTTGAACAACATAGGTACTAAGTAAGTTGAAACATGTTGATATATTGAAGTGTAAGTGTGACTCAAAACCAACAGATTTTAATAGTACCGAGTAGGATAAGAAGCCAATTACTCACGAGCGAAAAATTGTGAGCACGAGGCGTCAGCCGAGTGCGATAATTAGCGAGTGGATGTAATTGGCCTTATCCCTGACTTCTACTACTCACTAACTAATACTACTTTATTTACTACTTCTACGACTTACCGGTCGGTCAGTCAGTCAGTCGGTCAGTCAGTCAGAACTCAATTAAAAGATTTCAAAATTGGTGAGTATATTTTCTACAAATTATTTTATTATGGTTTATTTTTGTTATAATTATGTACATTATTACAATTATTTGATGTTATATCCGGTCTTATTCCGTTTTGTTGAGAATGTGAAACAGTGGAAATATAAATGTTTTCAATACTATTACCTATTTATGAGTACATTTGATGTGTTTCGCATAAATGTCTTAGAATTATCTACATAACTTTCGAAGTCACCCCCTCCATCAACTAGAATGGTTGCAGATGATTTTTGAAGCAGTATCCAGTATATGTATCTGGTATTTCCAAATGTAAAAATTTATCAATAATTTTTGGTTGGTAACCCAACTTATCAAGTCCAACAACCTGACGAGTGCATTTCCCATTTTGATAATCAAAAAAAAATTGGCAGTTGTCAACACTTTTTGGTTTCAGGTGGGTACTTTTTACAAATATAAAAATTATCGTTATCACTCATTTTGAATTTTTACGAAATACTGAATGACAGCTTATGATTAAAACAAGTGGTTGTTGATTCACGAATATAACTAGATTCATTACCAACCCACAAACTGTTGAACAAAAAATTTACTTAATGAATCGAAGAGGTTTTGTATTAAAGTGTATAATATATTAAAATTCTTGCAAAGCGCTTTCGACTTTTGTCATCATCAGTGCTCACCTGAAAGTAAGTGATCTAGTCGAAAAGGGAATTTAGTGAAATTGAAGTTGTAAAATTTTTTAAGGTTAAGAAATTTGGAAAAATTGTTTGAGATTACTTACTTGTCAGGCAACAGGAAGTATCAAGATAAGTGAATTGTACATTGTAATATTTAAATTATATAAAACAAAATAGGCTTATAGCCAAGAAAATACATTTTTGGATTCAGGCCATGTGGTTCAGTCAAAGTATCTTATGAAGAAGGACAACTTGAGACAGAATGTGTCAAGTGTCATGTTAAAATAATGGTACCAACTTGAGGAGTGGTCCATTATAGGTTTAAATGAATATGTAGAGGAAAAATATTGAATAAATTATATTAATAAACTGTGATTAATTAATAATTCATAATCCTCTTATGAAGGGGAAGGAAATCTCTGTTTAAGTTTACTTGAGTATTCAAACAATGATCATTGTTAGAAAGTTCTTTAGAAATCTCCAACTCTTCAAACAAGTCAAGTCTAAGGAAATTTTTATTATCTATTTTATGTAATATTTTGGAATTTCTATTGGGACTAAAGTTGTGGTTGTGAAATTTTATGTGGTGGCCAAAAGCAGATTTATCAGGTTTTTTTATATGTTCATTAATACGAGTGAAAAGAGGTCTACAGGTTCTACCAATGTAAGATGGTAAAATTTACTGAAAATATGATTTTTATTTCGATTTTACAGATAATTTGAAAAGAAAATTCACTGATTTTGGCTTTTGGATACTTGAATGTGTTCATGATATCATCATATTTATCAGAGAAAATATTACATATGACCGCCATTAATTTAGAATACACGTGTATTCTAAATGAACCATTACCTACTTGCTGTCAAACACGTAATGATTAGTTCAAAATGGAGGGAGTAGAAAAAATTATTTTATTCAATATATTTCTTCAATATATTGATATTTTTTCCTTTACATAAAAGTATGAAATTGAATATATCTCATCTGATAATTTGATAGAAGTATGACATCTTTCTTAAAATTTGGTTTGTGGTGTAGGTATGCACTAGAAAATATCGTTAATATCTAGGACATTTATTTTGTGAGAGCCAAAACCAAAACAATCGAAACTGGACATGTTCATTGAAAATCTCACTGCAAAGTGATGTGAATTAGGCATTCCCCCAACAAGAGTTTTTTTCATGAGTAATGTTAATTCAATTCCTATTGCAAATTCAATATTTTTGAAACGAATATGATTGTGATAATATTTAATCGCTTGTTTTTAAAATATATTAGTGACTTTTGCGTATAGGATTATATTACATTACAAATACAAGCTACAGACTTCAGTGAGTTTCATGTTTACTTTCAAAGTAGTTTTGGTATTTTATATTTTGTACAATTTCTAGAAATAACCATTATATATATTTTTTGTAATTCCGGATTAATTTCTAAAATACTTGTGACTACTTGTGAAAATTCAATTCAATTTTTATTCTAGGTTTGGAACGATGAAAAACTAAAATGGAACCCCGAAGAATATGGAAATTTATCGGTATTGCATTTAGCTGAGCACGAAGTTTGGCAACCTGATATATATTTATATAATGGGTGAGTGGAATTCTTTTATAGTGCTTCGCGATACAAAAATTCAATTCCCTTTGAGGTCGCTTCTGTAGAGTACCTACCAATTCGGTTAATCATGAAATGCGTATTTAGAAGGTCTGATGTGTTTTTGAGAGCTTCCAATTATTCTTATTATAATTTCTTATAATGAAGTGACTAAACTTTTTCATAAGCACACATTTTAAACGTATAAAGTGCACTTGGTACAAAAATAGAAACTTTGATGGAAGAGTGCACTTTCCTGATGAAAATCCCTTCTAGATTAGAAATGTTGTCTTTTCTAATGAGGCAACTCATTCGAATGTACTAACAGATGTTTATTTGAATGTTATTGACAATTAACTGGTTTAGTTTTCTGATTGATTCGGCTGTTACTTGATGAAGATCCATAGTAAATTCAAAAACTACACCTCACGATTTCATCTCCACTAACTTTGTAGAGATCAAATCGTGAGGTTTAGTTTTTAAAAATAACTGGTTTAGTGATCCAATAATTTTTTTCTGGTTGGGTAAAAGGCCAATTTTTCTTTTAAAAACAATTGTTATTTTTTTGCCAAAGTTTCAAATTCAATCCTTCTCCAGCGCTCCGAAATCATGAATTTTCATAAACATACCCCCCACAAAACTTATCATTTCAAGTTCACGAGAAATCACGATTTCTTCATTAAATTTCTCAGCGAAAAGGAGTTTTTTCTTGTTGAAAATATGACTATTTCAAAAACATCAGACATATTAGATACGTAATGAAAATAAAAAACACTAAAAACATAAAATTTTCCAGACAGACATGAAACAAACGAGTGACTTTATCTATGATACTGATAAGGTGATTTCTGTCTTTATCAATGGCACGTTATTTCAATGATGAAATAACAAAACTGTAATAGATACGTAAGCAATAGGTACAAATTTTAAAATTATGAAACAAGAACAAAAATTAATTAGCGCTCCGGAGTGACTTGATTGATTCCAGTGGCGCATTTGTTTTTTCAGCTGCAGGAAAACCCGGGAAAACCTGCAGCACTACATCATCTGAAGTTCTTGATCTACAAATATCCTCTCTTTCATAGAATAAAATGTAGGGTGTCTCCAGAAGCTTCAATGAATTCAAAATATCGCCAGAATATTTGAATAAATTGAAATATGAATAATGTTTTATATTGATATTAAGATTAGATAAAATTAGTAAATTCGAAAGATCTTCCACATAGAAATCATCCTTTTTGAAACCGTATGTTCGTATTCCACTAATCTATTTTGACAATGTTCGGACTTTATTGTATAAAAAGACGTAAACAGATTTGAAATCTTTGACGAAGAGAGAAATTAAATTAAAAATGAACAAAAAATTTCAATTATTCAAAGTACTGAGGAGTTGGCTGAAAAAAAATAAAAAACAAAAAAAAAGGTAATGAATATGAAAATCAAATAATATAGGAAAGGTGAGTTCTAAATCAAAGATACCTGAAAGGAAAATTTATTGATGAGTGGGTTGAACAATGAGGGAAATATTGATAATATAACAATAATGATGATAGAAATGTTTTTGACCGCAATATAATATACAGTATAACACACTTAAGATGAATACACCCCTGTATTTTAGTCATTTTTGAAAGCAAATATTTGTGTGTTACACTGTATAACATACAAAGTCATGGGCATACGAACAAGAATTGGCAAAATAAACTCTTGCTTATACATAGTACCAATGCAAACAATCAACGCCAACCTTGATTTACTAACAAATTCCATATATAACTTTTTTATTTTCAACCCGATTTTAAAAATTATTTCATCAAATGGGAGAAAATTCATTTCAGACTAATCCACATCAAACAGATTCCGCAATCAGGCTCGATTTATCTGCATTTAAGAAGGGAAAACAGAACTATGTTTCTATTATCTAGTTTTAAAACACCCTATAGTGAAATGCGGATTTAAGATGACACTCAAAACCATCCTGGCGGACATCCTGTACGCAAACTTAGTCCATATTGCTTCTTGTGAATTTATTCAACCTACTTCCATTACAACAACTCTAATAATATTGTAGAGCGACAACTACTGCCATCAACCACTTTGGAAACACCCACTGTCTCGCGTATCCTTCAGGAGAAATTTTATGGGTTCCCCCAGCACAATTCACAGTCCTTTGCAGCCTGAATTTGAGGTATTGGCCTTTTGACACTCAAAAATGCTACTTGAAATTTGGTTCGTGGACCTATTCTGGAGATCAACTGGATATTACTAACTACAATAATAACTCAGAAGTTGAGGTGAGTCTGTATGAATTGTTGCTTATTTATTCATTTATTTTCAGTCCATAACAGTTTATAGGTACCTATTAGGTTGTTTCGAAAGTTTCAATAAATTTCAAGCCGGTTCATGAGCATATCGGCAACCACTCGCACTCCTTCCAAATAATACAGTTCCGCCATCTGTGTATGTTTATCTGACATCCAAGTCATTTTGCCGTTGAAACCAACTTGGTCTAAGTCTACGTGTCCAAGCACACTTGGTCCAAGTTGGTATCCAAGTGTATTTAGATCGTGTCAACCCGTTTTTATAAAAGTTGGTAGTGGAAATCTATCTTTATTTCTCATAGGAACAGTAGCCGTCGCGAATAATTGTTTTAGGAATAAAATGAATCAAGGGCATGCCACTTATTAATGAAGTTTGCGCGCAGCTTTAAAACGTTCTCGAATTCAGGAATCCAAACAAAGTTATAAATGGAACAAGGCTAGTTTCTCATTATTGACGTTTCTACTGATTTCAATCTCGCCCAAATCGAAAATGTCAATGTCATTTGAAGATTTTGCGAATTTGAGATGTATCTACCAAAATGAAAGAATCTCGTTGTGATAAAAATATTCAGGCTACTATTTATATACATACTTGTATGTTGTGTTGTCTATGTAACAGTGTGAAAATTATAGATATATAGGTTTTTCATTGAGCTCTTTCTATCTTTGAATATAAATAAAACAAAGTGTGTATGAGATGTCGTCGAAATTTTTTATTCGTTTGAAAGACCTACTGATGCCATTATGTGTGGAATATAACATTATCAAATGTCCGCCACGTTTTCTTTGAGTGGAGCGAATCCAGAATGTCCAATTTCCTATGACTCTGGCGCATAAATCGGTTTGAATTTGATCGATAGCATGGGTTATGTTGGCTTTGAGAACCGCTGTGGTTTGTGGCTTATTCGGATACACCTGTGACTTAAAAAAAGCTTTGAAGAAAAAGTCTATCGGAGTCAAATCGCACCATATCGGTGGTCAGTTCAGATCACCTCCACGTGAGATGACCATGCCCTCTAATCACTCGTGCAGAACTGGCATGAGACGTTTTTTCAAGGACAAAACACAAGCACTACAGGGAAATCCTTAAGGCGCTCCCAGAGCGGTGCTTGTGTGAAAGTAGCGATTCACATTGGATTTAAATCACTGGAGATTAAATCCATTTGGAAAAACGTTCTCAGGAAGTTTATTGTACATAATCGCAGTTCTCCATATGGAAGAGTTCTTAAACAGTGAAGTTCGAGGTATACTGAGTTAAATCTCAAAACGATGAGCAGCCACAGTCCGTCGCGAATTTCTGATATGTACCGTTCTTGCACTTGAACACTTCCCGTGAAAGTATCTATAGAAAAAAACAAATCTCCAACCTTTCTTCGATGTTCCAGGCTATCAAGGTTGCACGTTATATTCGCGTCTACAATCAGGCGAATAGCTCTTTTCTAGATGGAATCCAGCATCTTAAGGGTATCTTTGGGAGCAGAGCTCCATACATGGAACAATACTCTTGAGCTGAGCTGAGCTTTATGAAGCATCAAAAGTTGCTGAGGTGTGTACAGTTTTCTGGAACAGAACAGTGTTCCAAGCTTTTTAGAAGCAACCTTTGCAATTCCAGCGACATGATTGTGCCATGACATATTGGTGTCAATTTTAACCCCCAACAAACTCATCGAAGCAGAAAGCGAAATTGTCTGACAATTTGCGTCCCACAGTATTTTCTGGGACGCAAATTGTCCAGCTAGTAGATTTGCTTTTTCTATGGCTGTTGTTGCAATTGAACCATCCGCTGGTGTTAGTGGTGAAATTGTGGATTTTGTAAAATTCTGATTAACAGCTTCAGCTATTGACCAGAAGGATCAAGAACCGTTAGGATTGGCAAGCAGTTCATCCCAAATTCTCTGATTGTGAGTTCTTTGTTTTCATTTAATCCTCAGTTTGCAGCTGTTCCGAGCATTAACAAATCTAGTTCGGTTTTCGGCACTGGGATTTTTGCGCCACTACCTGTAGGCGGGATTTTTGGTGGCGACAGCTTGCTCCCAATTTTTGCTGAACCAAGGTTTGTCGTTTCATTGAAAAAGGAATATATGCATTCATGGATGATAGAATGACTTCCGTGTCTTCAGAAGCACAAGTTGATGGATCTTTAGAACTGAAACAAACATCTGGCCAGGGAAATGGAAGTGGTCTTGAAGATCCTCCCATTCAGCTGATCTGTAATGCAAAACTTTGTGCGGCTAACATTGTTCCCCAACATTAATTGGTAATTCATTCAACACGGAAATGAGTTTGTGGATTGATTGTTAGGTAGGTATAGATCCAGAAGACTAGCATATTCTCCATCCCGGTCAGGAATCCTGGTTGGCTTATTTATAATCTGAGTAAGTACTATGGCTGTTGTTGCAATTGAACCATCCGCTGGTGTAAGTGGTGAAATTGTGGATTTTGTAAAATTCTGATTAACAGCTTCAGCTATTGAACAGAAGGATCAAGACCCGTTAGGATTGGCAAGCAGTTCATCCCAAATTCTCTGATTGTGAGTTCTTTGTTTTCATTTAATCCTCAGTTTGCAGCTGTTGCGAGCATTAACAAATCTAGTTCGGTTTTCGGCAGTGGGATTTTTGCGCTACTGCCGGTAGGCGGGATTTTTGGTGGCGACAGTTTGCTCGCAATTTTTGCTGAACCAAGGTTTGTCGTTTCATCGTTTCATTGAAAAAGGAATATATGCATCCATGGATGATAGAATGACTTCCGTGACTTCAGAAGCACAAGTTGATGGATCTTTAGAACTGAAACAAACATCTGGCCAGGGAAATGTCGGAAGTGGTCTTGAAGATCCTCCCATTCAGCTGATCTGTAATGCAAAACTTTGTGCGGCTTACATTGTTCCCCAACATTTATTGGTAATTCATTCAACACGAAAATGAGTTTGTGGTCAGAAGATCTCATTGGAGACTTTACTGTCACTGTGTGAATTTCTGGATTGATTGTTAGGTAGGTATAGATCCAGAAGACTAGCATATTCTCCATCCCGGTCAGGAATCCTGGTTGGCTTATTTATAATCTGAGTAAGTCCGCTGCTTATTGCAAAAGCCTCAGCTTCGCGACCTTGTTCGTCGTTGATATTTGAAAATTTGAGTCATTCGATATTGTGGACATTGAAGTCACTGAATATGGAAATTTCGGCACTGGGATGATTGATTTGCAGAAAGTCAATGGTGTTTGCAAGTGAAGAGAATAGTGCTCTGTATCCGACCTATCCAAGGCATTTGATATCAATCATGATATAATCCTGAGTAAGTATTCTCGCTAGGATTTAGAGGAAATGTACTTTCATGGCTGGAGTCATGAGAAAGATGTGCGTGAAATATGATGACTGCCAATCACAATCATACAGTAATGAATATGGAGTCCCTCAGGGATCCATTTTGGGACCTCTGATGTTCCTACTTTCCATCAATGATATGCCAAAACATGTGAATACAAACTGAATAATTTTATATGCAGACGACACAACACTTTCTGCAGATGCTGAAAGCCCGGAGGAACTCTAAGTTAAACTCAATGAGATGTCTGTCGCATTTACAGATTGGTGCCACAAAAACTCCTTAGTTGTAAACCCCAATAAGACTGTTTTAATGCAGTTCTACTCTAGAACTGTCAGGAAAATTACCGATTTTCGAGTCAGAGTAAGTAGTCGTGATGTGATTTCGTCAGACAATACTAAATTCCTTGGTACCTATGTTGATAGTAACATGACTAGGGAGTCAGCTGTGAGTCAGGTCAGAAAGAAAGTGAACTGTGGTTATTATGTTATACGGCAACTTTCATCCACACTCAGTACTGATCAGCTTTTGAATGTTTACTATGCCGTAATTTATTCTCACATCTCGTACAATATCGCTGTATGGGGTTGCTCCACACCTACAAATAACATTTTTGTTGGCCAAAAGAGAGTATTGCGTTTGATTTACAAATTAGATGCTAAGGAATCTTGTAGACCGCATTTTATCAGAAATAAAATTTTGCCTGTACCCTGCATATGTATGTATATACAAAATTATTCTGAATTTTAGAAAACATTTACACAATCATCTCCGCAATTCAGATTTTCATACATATCCAACAAGAAATCGTAACTTCATTAGGTTGGAAAAACATTCAACTAATTTATATGAGAACAGTTCATCCTACGTAAGAGCAAAACTTTTTAATAATCTTCCCGATTACATAAAAAGAGAAAATAAAAAATGAATTTCAAATAAACCCTGAAAAAATTCCTAATCAACGGTTCTTTTTAAAATGTCGCTGAATATCTAAGTCGATGAGAGTGTATTCTATAAATATTTAATATACTTTATTTTTTCTTCTTTTTTTCCTTGTGTTTGTGTGACACTTTCATGTATTTATTTGTTGTATCTCACGTTTTGTAAAGATTTTTATACATGTATAATGTCGACGTATCCTATATCAACTTGTGATCATGAAGGATTTAATAAATTATTATTATTATTATTGTGTATCGCTAGGTGGTCGATAAACGCAGCATATGAATTTGATGATCTTCTGTGATATCATTTTAGAACCAAATAACATCAGAGTTTTGGGGTTCCAGCATTTCCTCTCGTTGACAGGAGAGATCGCTTGTGATTAAAAAGAGGTATTCAAAAGTTATGATTGATTCGGGAGTGTAAATCATAGTAGGGGTATAGAAAATTGACGGGGTTTGTTGAAGCACTGTAGCACGTAGAAGCCACATGTCATTGGTCTCCAGATGTCAGGCCAAAAGAAGTTAGTAATCATCGCCGTTGACAGTGATGGCCCGTCGTTCTCATATACATATGTACCAATGACGCCGCCAGCCCAAAATCCACACCCAACAGTAACTTTTTCGGGATGCATTGAATGCTCTTGGATCTCATGTGGATTGGTATCGTCCCAAGTTCGAAAATTTTGTTTGTTTTCGATGGGAGCAGTTGCCGACTGCTCCGGATCCCATTCAGCGAACACACGTTGTCTATGGTCGTTTACCTTCAAAATAATCAAAATTTCAGGCGTTTCATGATTGAAAACACGATTGAAATACGTAAACGTATTGTCATATACCGATTTCAATTATTTCACTTACTTTGAGGCTGTTCACGGTCTGCGTAAGTCTCTGGTCCACGAAACCGAATATGTGAAACATGTTTCTTGACATGAATTATCGTAGTACGCTCAGTTTGACCAACATATTTTTTGTCGATATTGACGTGGCTTATTTCGTAAATCCCAGACTTCTCTTTTTCTCACCCTATATTTAGGGTTGCCCAATATTTGCTGGAGTGTACATGCAGTTTTGAAAACTACTTTTAAATCTAACTTGATAAATATCGGACAATCCATTGGTGTATTTTGGTTCACATTGAACAAGTATACACTTTAAGAAAAATTCGAATTTTCAAAACGACTGCCAATAAAACGAAATTTTTCACACATACTATTATTTGTATCTGTATCTCTGTATCTGTAGAGTAGAGAGGCTGAGTGTAGACCCACAGCAATTAGGCCACATGTGACCCATTGTACATCCTCCCGAAGAGTTGTCCTCCTAGGTCAACCTCCATCCTGTCCTTTCCAGGAAGGTGGACAGGTCACTAGCAGACATCTCCTTTATAGTGGCAGGTGCAGGCCAAGACTCGCCGAACATACACTCTCTCTGGGAACCTTGAGATGTCTCTCGGTGGCCTGCGCGAAGGTTTTGGACGGTGCAGCGACATTACTGTTGTTGCGCGGCTTCTTCAACCTTCTTGGGGTTCCCTCCATGGAGGTGCACAAGTGAGGGAGCTTTCCTGCAGGGACAGCCGGTTCCTTGCCTTTATTCAAGGCGGAGCTCTTGGCGCCCGCCGCAGGAAGTGCCCTTCCTGTTGGAGGTGGAGTGGGGGAGGAGGAGAGTGCACTTATAGTTGCTGCCACTCCTGCCTCTTCCGCTTTCTTTCTCCTTTTGGCCTCGACACCTATTCTTGGCCTCGGCGCCTCCTTTTGGCCTCGGCACCTCCTTTTGGCCTCGGCACCTACCAACCATTATTTGTAAGAAATGAATACAATCTACTTGAAAATACTAGTGAATAAGTCACTTGTTTGTAGCAACCAAATATTTCATTTTCCATCAATATCCTTCTTTTTATAGAAAATATCGTTTTCTGATCAATCAAATATCGACCTCTCACATACCTACATATTTCTGTATGTGAAATGTCTGTTTCAGCTAGAGTTGCTTATCGACAATTCGGAATGGAAGATCACGAAAGCGGAACAGAAAATTGTTAGTACATACTATGAGTGTTGCCAGGAACCTTATCCGGACTTTACGGTTTATCTAACGCTGGAAAGGATATCGCCATCTTATAGTTCTATTATAGTGACACCCGCATTTGGTATGTATACATTCTCCGGTTATATGAAACGTACAGTGTGTCCCAGTTGAAATGTCGCCTGCCTTATATCACCCCTTAGTGAAAGGTAAACGGTAAAATATGTGAAAATTTTCTAAGCAAATGACTTACGTGTATAATAATTTGATTTTTCATCTTGAATTATTGTATGAGAGATATAATTGAGATTATTTTCGGAAAAAACAATAATTTTTTATCAGTTTTTAACGAAAACATTGTTATTTAGCAAAGCTATGAGAACAACCAATTTTTACAGACAATTATATTATTACTGAGTAATAGATACATTAAACGTACGTCGCGTATTCTTTTAGATTTCAATGAAACCGTTACTATTCAGAACAATGTTTCAATTCGAATTAAAATGGCCTCATTATACCAACGAGTTTCGATTAGCATATTGAGATTCCTGAATATCATCATTGTTGGTATACAAGTGGAGATTAAATTGAAGGATAGTTGTCTTATTTTGTGAGGTTATGTGAGTCAGTGAGGCAATTCATTTTTCATTTGTATGTGTTCATTTTATTGGTTATTTGAGTTACATATTCATTCGAGTTGTCTAAGTAGGTAGGCTGAGGTTCTGATCACTGCCATATTCATAATATCAAATTGAACCTGTGCCTTTCTATTGAAACATTTATGAAAAGTCACAGTCATATTTGAACATTTGATTCAAGTGGTTCAATTCGATTAGAATTGATTAGAATAAATTCTTATATTAGGGACTATAACTAGAAAGTGGAATGAAATAATAGAAATAAGTTATTTTATAATGAAAACATAACATATCTTGAAAAAACAAAAATTAAATGCCGTTAAATATGAAATTGGTTTCAAAAAATACACATTCAAGACTAATTCAAGTATGATAAGAAAAAATGCAAACTATGAAATTCCACTACTTGAATCAAAATGAAATAATGCTTCACTGGAATTGAATTATATATAATGATCCCATCGTGATATACATATAGACTATATCCAAACTTTTTTTTTGTTTTTTAATTTTCGACAGTAATTTGTTTTGTCTTGTGGCATGATTGTGAATACGTCCAATTTGAATAAAATTCAAGTTTGATTCCTTTGTATTATTTTTATTCAACATGATATTATTTATCATGAATAAAACTTGAGTCCAATAAATAGTTTAATTTATGAATGCTCATGATTATTTTATTTTGTAAGGTTTTCAGAGGTTTGATAATAGATTCACTTGTAATTGCTGTTTCTTAAACAGAAATGAGATAGTGAAAATGTGAATAAATGAGACTGAATTATATATTTCTTTAAAATTGTATAGGATCAAAGTTTCCAATCTGATGAAAAATTTCAATAGAATACGATATTTTCTTCCTAGTTTGTTCAATATCATTATTCCACAATTTTTCATCAATGTATAATCCTGAAAATTTTGTTGTTTTTGTAGATTTGATAGAATCATGATCAAATACATTTATATGTCGCAGAAAAATATTCATATATGAGCATTTATTGAAATTGAGCATCAATTTGTGTTCATCAAACCAAATGAGTTACCTGAAACAATTAATCCTACCGAAAGTATTACCCCTCCTCCATGGACAATATATATCCCATCTACTATCCTGAATTTGAGCCATCTGAAAATCATCCATTTTTATTCAAAAAACTTTTTTTAGAAACAATCGAAAAATTTGAAAATTTTCAGTGCACATACACTGACGCTTCCCGTTTTGAAAGTGGCGTAGGTGCTGCATATACAACCATTGAGTCTTTCGCTAAATTCCAACTGCCACCCTTTACCACCATATTTACTGCTGAGCTCATAGCAATTTTCAAAGCCCTACGTCACTTGAACACAAAACCAACATCAAATTGGATATTCGTCTCAGACACTTTAAGCGCTATTCAGTCACTTTCACAATTATACCCAACTCACCCATCCCTAATTGAAATAAACTCCGAATTAGAATATTACTGGAGTTTTTTCCCAACACCAAATCGTTATTTTTAACACCTCGACACGTGTTTCGATCACCAAGTGATCATCTTCATAGAGGAAGATTAAACAGATTAGTTTAATTGAAACTTAGTTAAAGACTAAACTGCTTAGTTTAATCTTCCTCTTTGAAGATGATCACTTGGTGATCGAAACAC